TTTTTTTTTTTTTTTTTTTTTTTTTTTGGTTTTGCTTTTCTCCTCCCTGTATTTTGTCTCTCTCTGAGAAAGAAAAAGAAAAAAAAAAAAAAGATCTGTTCTTTTTCTCAACAAAGACATGTATAATTAGATTTTAAGTGTAGTTCATTGCATTAGGCAAAGGGCTTTTGGTTTTGTTTTTTAATGAATGAGTACAGTGTTGTGACTTTAGGTATCCAGTATATTTGTAATCAAAATAAGTAGCTGTTAAAATTTCACTCATCAAATGATGGAAATAATTCAGAGAAAAAATGAGAGATCATTAAACTACGAATGTGAGGAGCATGAGTGTGTTTTCAAATTTTATTGTTCATAAGGTGAATTCATTGTTAGTTGTATGCCCGCTTACAGGCTTGTGCTTTTTATTATGCTCATACACGCAGCCTCTGACTATCCAAGGAGGATGAGACTAGTTTTATGAAGATCTTAAGCTCACAGGTAGTAGTCAGTGAAAGGAGGTTTTCGGATTAGTAACTAAATAGGATTTTGCCGAAGAGCCAATTAACATAATGGAATGGATGACCTGTAGTTAAGCCTTCACAGGTGTTGGCTGATGTCTCAGATGGCTGCTGTGGCCAGAGCTGCCTACTGTGCTGATACCACATCAAGCAGATAAATTTCTGATGATTAGCGAATCTCTTAAGTCCTTGGGGAAATCAGAATGTGACAGTTTTACCTGTCATGTTCACAAACTGAAAAGGGGGGAAAGAAGTGCTGATCATGATCCTGCTTAGTTACTAAGTGACATCCAAAGCACAAGAAATGTATAAGCTTGGATTTGTGAGGAACATTATTAATTCTGAAATAGCTCTGTGGCCTTTCGGGCTTTCTCTGGACTTTTGTTTAATGCAGCCTGTGCCCAAATTATGAAAATGGATGTTTTTCCTGGGAAAGACTTACAGGAACCTGTGGCCTGGCAGGAATTGTTTTTAGGTTATTATTGATGTACAGAATTTGTGTGGTCATTGAGAATGAAAGTCCTGCTAAGCAAGGCATATCCAAGAAAGACCAGAAGTCATGAATGAAGCATTAGACATAGATACTAACTGACTCTTAGAAAAAAGGCTGTTTACCTGCCTTTGGAGAATAGGTTCTATGTCATATGCCCTCCCCTACCACCTGTCCATGTGCCATACCGATGAGTTAATGAAAATCCATGCTGTGGCAGTAAGCTATTGCATGGACCCTGATGCCATAATGTCTGCACTTACTTGCATGAATACAGGATGGAGAAGCATTTCTTCCCCAAAGTCTGATTTAAATGTATATAACGGCAGATTGTTTTGAGGGCAGGAAAATCAGGAATTTAGAAGCAAAGTATAGTTTTTTGTTTTGTTTTTAAATATATCTTTATTGATTTTAAAGAGAGGAAGGGATAGGGAGAGAGAGAGAAACATCAATGATGAGAGCAAGTCATTGATTGACTGCCTCCTGCACACCCCCTACTGGGGATTGAGCCCACAACTTGGGCATGTGCCCTGACTGGGAATCAAACCATGATTTCCTGGATCCTAGGTCGATGCTCAACTGGCTGAGCCATGCCCGCCAGGCAAGAAGTATAGTTTTTATAGAGTGGCCACTGAAATAAATGGAACAGCTAATTTTTAAGAGTTTCTATGTGTCCTTGGGATCTTTTATTTCTCACTCTAATTTAAAAATTCAGAGTAGAAAAATCAAAGGACCAAATGTTGCATTCAACCATGACCTTGTTTACTCTATTCATCATATGACGTAGGAGAACTACAGTCTCTAAAGAAAGAAAACTTCTGGGTCTCCTTTTTGGTGTCACCAGCTTTCATGGCCAAGGGTGGTATGACTTCTAGGGAGATGGCTCTTGAAAGTTGTCCATCCCAGTCAAACCATTCTCTTGTTGCTCAGGGCTTAGCATGAAGTGTTTGGGAGAAAATTTGTCCAGTTGGATATTCCCAGTCATGTGTGAGATGACAGGGATGCAACTTAAATTAAACTAGTCACTGAAATAGTCTGTTGCCTACTGGAGATGGAGAACCAGTCTGGATACAAATTCCTACTCAAATGTTAATGGATATTGTGAAATAATAGTGGATCTTTAAAGGAGGGAAGGGGGTTAAAGTTACTTATAAAGTTAACACATGTTTCCAAAGCATTAGGCAAAGTAAGCTCAGTGCCAAGATATTTGACTACCAGATACTTTATTGAATTAAGTGAATTGGCACTACAATGACTATTTCTATTTTACTGGTGGTCTTTCTTCCATTTTTATGAATAATGAACATGAACCATACTTAGAAAGCAAGCAGTTGAGCTTGATTTATACACAGCACTTCAGCCTATCACGCTGGCCCATACCACTTTCACTGCCTCCATCCATTTTACCCACTTAGGCAGATAGCATGGTTCTGGGCTTTTAACAAGTTTCCCAGCTATGCATTTTCAAGTGAGCTAGACTCCAGCTGGGTATCATACACTGTTGATCCCAGCCGGAACAAGAGCGTTGACAGAAATGGCCTCTGGCTACACTGAGTCTATAACTTACTCAAAGACAGTCTTGTCCAGGACCAGGCCAAGGCATGGACTTAGCTCTAAGCAGAATGAAATTCAGATTTCGTAGTATTGGCCATATTTAAAACAACATTTCAGATACAACTTGGAAGGCACACAGCTCACAGTCTGCAGTGGAGGCAGTGTGCTTTTCTTTTTGAGGTCTTACAGCATTACTCATGCTCTTTTGGGACTTTTGATTTGCAGATGCTAATGTTGGAGACCGTGGACAGACCAATAGCGCCGCTTCTGCATCAGCTTCCAACTCCACCTGAACAGTCCCGAGCAGCCAGCTGCACAGGAAAAACCACCAGTTACTTGAGTGTCACTCAGCAACACTGGTCACGTTTGGAAAGAAAATTAAAGAGAAAAAAACCTGTTCATTTTAGTGTTCAAATTTTTTTATTGTTATTATTTAACCTTGTAAAATATCTATAAATACAAACCAATTTCATTGTCTTCTCACTCTGAGGGAGATCCATGGGGTGGGAGGGGTTGTGGGGAGGGAAAGCGGAGCACTAGAACATACAATCTCTCCCCCACGACAATCTTTTTATCAAAAGTCTGCTGTTGTATACTTTAAAAACAGGACTCCTGCTTCATGCCCCTTCCACAAAAGAAAAAAAACTTAGTTCTCTGCTGAAGTTTTTTTGAACTTTGTTTTCTTTTAAAGTCAAGTGTAAGACTTTGGTATAGTGCACAGCTTGAAATTGGTTGGGAGCTCAGCAGATGTAACTCCATGGGGACTTAAATGTCACTTGTAAAATTAATCCATATCCTTGGGTGTTTGGAGACTTGCCTTTGGCATGTTGGTGGCAGGTGTGGCAGACAAAAATGAAAGGAAATGTGTATCGCTTATAACCCAGGGAGGTCAATAAAGTTAGAAACTCTAAGAAGAAGATTCTTAGTTGATTTGTTAAAGTTTCCTATTTTGCTCTTAATCAGTGATAGTGGTGGAGAAACTTGTGTAGGAGGCTGTCAGGGGAGGAGCATGCCTGCTCTACAAGTGGATCTTTGTTTGCCTGGCCAAAAGTTCTCTGCAAATCTTAGTACGGTTTTAAACTAGTAACCTAGGAGAAGGCTAAAAGGGCGTTGAGCCGACTACTCTGGCTGCAGAGGTCAAAAACCGATGGACCTGGAGAAAGGGGACCGGCCAGGGCAGATCTCACCACTGTGAATGAATTAGTCCAGATTTTTTTCTAAAGTTGCTTCCCTTGGAAAGATACACTTGAGAGGACATTATAGTTAAATAATGTGAACTGTAACAGTCTACTGGTTTATTTTTCGTATTTTTTAATTATAGATTGAGCTTGCAGAAATTGCCATGTTCTGCACATTGTTCTAATTTTAAATCCAAATCTAGAATCTGTATTTAATTTCAGCTTTTTTTAACCTCATGCTTTTAAAATTTTATTTATTGATGCATGTGAGATAGGCCATTATGATTCTAGATGGTAGGAATATTAAAAACTACACATCCAAATGATATAGTCACTTGTACCTGCTGACTTTATAGGAAAGTGGATTATATAAATGTGTGTGTATATGTGTTATATATACATAGGTTCGATACTGCCTTCTGTTTTTGTTTTTATTTTGTCCACAGCATCAAAATTAACTGCTTGAAGAGTGAGAAGAAGGTTTCCCCCACACCCAGTTAAAAGTTTTTGTTTCTGTTTTCTTTGTGTATCAGTGAATGGTGTAAGAACCAGTCTCTGTTTTTGAAGAAAAAGCAATATTCCTTGGAAAGCAAGGAGGATTGAAGGATTACGTTTGCAGTGAGGAAATAGATTTTCACTAGTTTGTTTTATACATTTAAGGTTGACATCCGTGTGGGCCTTATATACTCTAAAATGAACCTTAGTCACCTTGGTGCTTATGGGCCATTACTTGACCTATGAATCTTTAAGGCACAATCAGTTGTACTTTATATTTAAAGATCACTTCAGTGATGGCCACCTTCCCCCCTCCCCACTCCTTCCCCACACACCTTCCAGGGTTTGCTGAAACCTGTAGGGCTGCAGAGCTGAGCCCTAGATTGTGTGGAACCTGCCTTCACCCTTCACATTGCCACCTTAGGTCATGTTAGGGGTCTCGCCCCCCAGGTGATTTGGAAGTAGTCTCTTGACAGCCCTCATGCAGTTTCCCACAGCCTGTACTGCTTCTTACTCAAGTGTGTGACTCCCGGAGAGTCCAGCTGCCTGCTGAAGTGAACATTGCCCAGAAAGGTGATTGTGAGCCATCTTAGTTTTCACTCTTGTTTAAACTCTTAGACCACAAAAGGGGGTTTCTCAAACCTCTGGTTATAATCAGAGTTCATGAGAAAGAAAACACTCAGTCAAACCAAATCAAGCAGATTGAATTTTACTTTTCATTATAAGCCTTTGAGGGCTAATTGAAGTTTGAAAGGCGTCTGAATCAAAGTATTTGGCAATATGATTCCTGAAGAAATGACTTTGATAGACCATTTTCAGAAAAGGTTTATAAAGAGGCTGAACAGCAGGTCTGTGATGGAAGCAGATCTACTTTCAGACCAATGACCAGCCAAACATTGGACACCGACACTACTCTGGATCTGGTATAATTGCTAGAGCCCATAAAAATCTGTGCTTGTATTTATGAAATACTTTCCCCCCAATGAATGGGGTGAGAGAAGAAAGTCAGATGCTTCCCTCTCATTTGTTGTGTGTGCGTGTGTGAGGGCTGAGGTGTGTGATTTTTTCTTTCTCAAGGATCATGGCGGGATCACAGAGCTCTTTTATACAAGTGAGATCCAGGTCTCTGAATATCTTTTTGTAAATAATAATAATAATAATAATAAAAAGCTCCTCACCAAATTCAAGCTTGTACATTATATTTTCTTTCAGTGTTTTTAAATTTAAGTTTTATTGTTTTGTATGTAAATATGTGGACCCAGGAACTGTTATTAATGAGCAAAAAGTTACTGTTCAGGGCAGTGATTCTGTTTAATAATCAGACAAAATGTAGACGAGCTTTTTAAAGCCATATAGTTTTAACTCTGTACAGTAGGTACCGGCCTGTATTATTGTAACAATAACTCTAGCAATGTATAGTGTATCTATATAGTTTGGAGTGCCTTCGCTTCCATGTGTTTGTTTTTTTGCTTTCCATTTTTAAAATTTTAATTGGTTTCTCTATCCATGTCCCCCTGTCCCCACCCTTTTTCCTTTGAAATAATAGCTCTCTCATAACACACTGTCTGCCCCTTCTCGGTGAATTTCAGTGATGCCATGCTCAGGAGTGGAAAGAGGAAACTGTTCATAATCTGCTCATTCAAGCCCTGCCTTTGTTTTGGTTCTGAACGTGTTTCTTCCTCAGCGGTGAGCGGTTTCGTTTCATCCTTTGTCACCCAGGGACTCCTTGCAGTGCCAGGGAGCCCCAGAGCTGGAGGGTAGCAGTAGATTAGATTCTGCTCGTGTCTTCCCCAGACCCTAAACATGGTTCTTACAAACAGCAGATTCCATGCTCACTCTCTCATCTTCCCTCACAAAAGAGAGAGGTGGTTTTTGTAAGAGTTCCTTCATAGCGCCCGGTTTTGCTAATCGGTGGTCCGGAACGCGCTGCGCTGTGACAGCGGCTAGTGCGCGGGGCGCCGCCAGCGGGCAGAGGACTGCGGGTAACAGGGGACTCGGCCTTCCCACCTCCGCCACCTCCACCCCTTTCAGCAAAATGTCATTTTAATTTTTTTTCAAAAATCAGTTTAATTCTTACTGTGTGCCTATCATGAAGGCCTTTTTTGAAAGAAAGGAAAGAAAGAAAAAAGGAAAGAAAGATCATTATTAGCTTTGCCTCCAGGTACTCCATATAAGATGTCTTGAGTAGAAGAAAAAACAAACTTTACCAAACCAAAGGTTCCTATTTTTGAAACATCCTGTGTTCATTCCGCAAGGCAGAAGACTGCACCTTCTTTCCAGTGATGTCATATTTTTTTAAAGTCCTCTTGATTTTTAGATACATATTTTTGGTTTGTGTTTTAACAAAGCCTGCCTAACCAGTCACCTGATCTGCACCAATGCAAAGGTTTCTGAGAGGACCGTTGTATTCTCTATCCCTGTGGATATAAAGACACTGGCATTTTCTTTCATTTTCCCTTTCCTTTTTAAGGGATTTAACTTTGGAAGCTTCCAAAGGAAGTTTGGCCAATGCCAGATCCCCAGGAGTTTGGGGTTTTTTTCGTTTTAAACCAAAATTGTATCTGATTCCTGTTGTTCTTGTTGGTGATCATCTAATCACAGAGCCAAACACTTTCTCCCCTCTGTAGGAAAATAAACTAAGCATGCTTTACAATAAAATCTGTCTTCTCTGATAGAAACCTGAGCCACTGAAAATAAGAGAGGCAACTAGAAGCAGAGTAGAGTCCCAGACTAAGGTCTGTTTGAGAGGCTTTGAAAGTAATCCCTGGGGTTTGGATTATTTTCACAAGGGTTATGACTTTTTATTCAAGTTTGTTGCTCCGTTTTGCACCTCTGCAATAAAAGCAAAATGACAACCAGTACATAAGGGGTTAGCTTGACAAAGTAGACTTCCTTGTGTTAATTTTTAAGTTCTTTTTCTTACTATATCTGTCTACAGGCAGATTCAGATAGATGTTTGAAATGTGCTTGCCTGTAAAATTTGCATTTATAAATGTGTTGCCGATGGATCACTTGGGCCTGTACACATACCAATTAGCGTGACCACTTCCATCTTAAAAACAAATCTAAAAAACAAAATTTATTATATATACATATATATATATATATATATATAAGGACTGTGGGTTGTATACAAACTATTGCAAACACTTGTGCAAATCTGTCTTGATATAAAGGAAAAAGCAAAATCTGTATAACATTATTACTACTTGAATGCCTCTGTGACTGATTTTTTTTTTTTTCATTTTAAATATAAACTTTTTTGTGAAAAGTATGCTCAATGTTTTTTTTCCCTTTCCCCATTCCCTTGTAAATACATTTCGTTCTATGTGACTTGGTTTGGAAATAGTTAACTGGTACTGTAATTTGCATTAAATAAAAAGTAGGTTAGCCTGGAAATGAAATTAAAATTCACAAGTGTGTGGTCTTTATTTCAGTACCCAGCCCTCCTCTTCACCCTGCCTATTTTGCCACTGCAGGATGTAGTCACATCGCCATCTCCTTTCCTCCAATTAGAGAAACATGGATCTTTGTTACAAAAATCAAGATATGAACATTAGCTCTTCGTTCTTTCAAATGACCTTATTCCATTTTGTAGCCCCAAGAGGTGCAGCTTCCGTCTTGGAAACCTTTGGATTTGATGCTGAGGAAGCTTTGCAGACACTGCTTTGAAAAGAAAGAAAACATCCCTGAAAGGGACAAATTTTAAAAACGTGTATAAGCTGCTGTCTTCAGTTACTGTGTTCATGGTTTGGTGTAGCTGTATTTCCTTTTAAGTTTCATCCATTAGTAATGGTCTTTGGGAGTATCTGTAAAATAAATGAACACCACAAACAGTGGGGCTGTACCTCCCAGGTAACCAACACATGTTGTGTTTGAGTCTGATCATTTCCAATACTGGATGATGTATGTAAACATGTAATGTCTCTTAGTGCAAAAAGAAACTTTTTTTTTTAGGCCTGGCTCACTGTCAGGCCTAATCTAAAGGCTAGATATAAAGTCATGTGACTGCTGCTTCAATAAAAACAAATTTATATTGGATAAAGTCTGGTCCTCTTTATTTTCTTATTTTTGTTGTGGTGGTGGTGAGACGTGTAAACAGTTGCAGGGAGTGAGGGGGGAGGAGGCTAGGATGTCACTGGGATGGGCGGGATGTCCTTTTAACTTGCAGTCCTGGAAGTCTGCACCTCCAGCCCTTTGGGAGCACATTCTGGGGGAGCAGTGGCAGTGGGTGCCATTTCAGGTGTTCTGAAAGGGTGGTTGGTGAGGAAAGGGAGTGGTCAGGCTGCAGATCCCCTTCAAGAAGTTGGTGAAAGGAGGTAACCACAGTGATGGGTGGCCACCCGGTCCTCAGGTGTAGGAATACATGACTTACCCACGAGCACCTTCAGATTCAGGAGAGCCGTGGGGATGTTACGGGAGCATGTCCAGGGACAAACAAGCTGTTGTGGAAGATGGGATGAGGCCCGTGAGTTATCAGAACTGAGCAGAGACGTCGGTCAAAGGTGTATCCCTACACCCTCTTTCCTCTGGGAAGAAGCCACCCTGGGCCTTCCACAGGACTTGTTGACGTCGAGGCTTGAACTGGATCTTTAAAGTCTGGACCAGATAGGGATTGGCTGCTTAGTGGCTCCGGCCAGTGGGGAGCCAGGAGGTGACTCCCTTAGAAGGTCTTTTCTCCTGAGCTTTGGAGACTGACTTCACCCTCACCTGTCTGAGGCAAGACCTTATGCCTGGAAACTGACAGTGCTGCACACTCAAAGCTCAGGGGAGGGAGTAATAAGGAAATCCAAATGTTTGCAAGTAGAAACTTTGAATCCGGCTCCTCACCCTATAGACCCGAGATCCATAAAGCTACTGAAAGGACATATCCTGTGTGAGCTTTGGTGCATCTAACCTTGAGTCTTTACCCTGGGACTACACGTATGTTTGTGTAACATTTATGTCATATGTACATATCAGTTAAATGTTTGGGGAACTGTCCAGGTATTTTTTAAATCAGGAGTTTATATCCCATCTTTTGTTTTTTTTAATTTAAATTTTTTATTGTTGACGCTATTGCAAATGTCCCTCATTTTCCCTATTTGCCCACCTCCACCAACCCTTGCCTCCGCTCCCTGGGCCCTCACTACACTATTGTCTGTGTCCATGGGCTATGCATATTTGTTCTTCAGCTAATCCTTTCACCTTCTTTTACCCAGTCCGCTCCACACCCCCTCCCCTCTGACATTTGTCAGACTGTTCCATGTATCCATGCCTCTGTCTCTATTTTATCAGTCTATTTTGTTCATTAGATTCCACATATTAGTGAGATCATGTGGTATTTGTCTTTCTCTGGCGTATTTCACTTAGCGTAATCATCTCCAGGTTCATCCATTCTATCACAAAGGGTAAGAGATCCTTCCTTTTTATAGCTGCGTAGTATTCCACTGTGTAAATGTACAGCAGCTTTTTTGTTCACTTATCTACAGTTACATCCCATCTTAATCTCACCTTGCCCTCACTTTATTGTAGCCTACATCTGAATGAATAGCACACTCAAAATTATTATAATGGGGAAGGGGAGATGTATGTGATTTATGGATGCAGTTGAATGAAATTTATATTTCTGAAAGACAAATTCCTGGAGGCAAAAGCTGTATTCATCATATTTGCAGAGAGAAGTTTTTCCCCCCTTCAGTTTATTTTCTAAAAATGAGTGTGTTCTCTATCTTCTTGATGCAGAAGAGGCTGGTAAGTCTGGAGGGAATGCAGAGACTAGGTTTGCTTGCTTTGATGTATAGTGTCTACCACTTATGTCTCAAAGTTTGGCCAACTTCTCATAAAATGATAAGAGCTGAGCAAGTATCTGTTCCTTAAAATTCAGTTAACTTGTAGCTTCATTTGCATCAATATATTAGACTTTTAAAATTTGTTCAATTATTACATTTTAAATTATGGTATAAATATATTAAATTTTTATATGGAACCATTTTATGAGAAAACCAAGTTAATGTATTTTTATGTTCTTGCAACTATTGTCTTCAGATATGTAAAGAGCAATAGTAAAATAAGTAGTAAAAAAATAGAAATGTATATATTATATACATGACATTTCTATTTTCTCACTCCCACATGTCGTTTTTCCCCCCAGAAAAGAAGGCAGGGGAAAAAAGATAAGTATCTAGCCACAGGTTAATTATTTAAGCCATCTTGCCTTGACTTGACATTAGACTTGGGGTTATATTTGCTAGCTAAGCCTTAGGTGTGGAATGCCTTATGTAAAATTAGTTAAAATGTAATTAGCAAAAATGTTTTTACTCGAAATGGCTAGAAACAAAGCAGACACTTTCCTACTCTTTAGCTTTAAAGGGAACATGTGGTGCATGCATATCTAGCACATTTATTCACTGCCTGTCAACTTAGCCCGTCACAACACCCCAATGTTCCAGCCTCGGGAGCAAACCCAAGCCCCAGTTCAGCTGTGGAAGAGACCTACACCGAGGAGTCACACATATGTGCACACACATGTTCCAGGGACCCCTTAACTTGGGTCGCCGGGTGCACCCAGAACCCCAGCAAAGCTTAGCATCCACACAAAGAAATTTCTTCTTATGTCACTCCTGCTTTTGATCAAAGTTATCTGTGTTTCTGCCTTGTTTTCTTTACTGAACTATGATCTCCTCGCGGTCAGGATCCACATTTGGTTCAGCGTGTGTGCCACACAGCAGGCTGCATGTTGCTGGGGCTCGCCGACGTGTTTGAATGGATGCAGAGACACAGAGGAGGGAAGGGCAGATGCACAGAGTGGTCATGACAAGCTTCTGGCATTTGGTGCAGGCTTTCTGGCTCCTCCCTGGAATACTCCCGCAGACACGAGTGCACCTGCTGATCGACACAGGCCTGGACCCCACCCAGCAGCTCAGTCCACTCGGGGCTGCGGGTGGACAGTGAGTGGAAGGTAGGAGACGGGGGTACTAGAAATAGCAGCGAAGAGACCCAAGAAGCTAATGAACTTGGGTGTGGGCACAGACCTTCAGATGGCCCAGCCCAGTCATCCTTTCTGCTCTCCTATCACGACACTAAATCCCCAGACCCCAGGGCCTTTTCTAAGGGGGAGGTGGCCTTGCCTCTTGATAGACCCAACCATAGGCCACAGCGAGGGCTGGGGGCCCATGTCCCCTTCCTGAGGAAGGCCAGCCAGCACCGTAAGAGCTGTCCTGAGTTCCCTGAGAAGGCAGGGCCTGTAGGGCATAGTGGGCCTTGGCGGTGTCCGTCTGTCTGTCCCAGGAGTGGCGGCCCTGGGGGCTGTGGCTCTGGCTGCCCCGCGGAGGTGCGGCCCTGGGCAGCCGCTCAGCCGTCGGAGATGCTGAACAGCTCCCGCATGAGGGGCGTCGCGAAGGGGTGTATGTCGTGGATGCGCAGCAGCCGCTGGGTGTGCTGGGCGTTGATGCTGCGAAGTTCGGTGAGCATCGCCATGATCTTCAGGAACAGGAACCTGCAGGCCGGCCAGAGGAGATGTTGGGGGTGCAGCCCACCCTTGTCCCCACCCACCAACCCTGGGACCGCTCTGAAGTTGTACAAGTTTGGGGACGTTTAATCTCAGAACATTTCAGGTCAGTCGAGAGAAAGGCTCAGTTGAATTCCTTAAGCGTCTCTTTTAGCCTGTAGACGAGAAGGGCAGAACAGCCTGGGGGACTCAAGGGGTGGACCTGCACCCCCTGCTCTGGGTTTGAGTACATGCACATGGAGATGTCCGTGGGGACAGCCGGGCACTGCAGGACCACGTGCATAGGTCAGTTTGGGGGGAATCACTGCCTTGGCTCACAGGTGGGGTGAGGACCGAGTGCAGCGGTTGTGGAAGCAGGGGCTCCAAGCGGCTATCCCTTCCTGGGTCTAGCCAGGATCTAGTGACTGAGTCACACCTTGTGCCTCAGTTTCCCCATGATGCCTCCCAGCTCCATACAGGGCAGGACTGAGCAAATGAAGACACAGCCACTGAAGCATCCCAAGATTCTGAGCTCAGAAGAAAACTGGAGCAGGCCAAGCAAGGACACGGGCACAAGTTCACCCTAGTGTACTCGGTGCTGGCCTTCACCCTCATGGCTCGAGCCTGTGGACCACGGAGGCCCCATGAAGGGTGGAAGCCCCTGTCCACCAAGCCCTTAGCCACCTTCCTTCTTTGGGTTGTAGAGAACCCACTAAGGAGTTTCCTGCACTGTTTGCTTGTCTTTGCTCTGGGAGGCAGTTAGGCAGTGCCCAAGAGCATGGGCTGTGGACTCGAGCTACCTGGGTCCACCTCCAGACCCCATCTGTCTGCTGTGGACCTGGGGCAGTCACCCTGAGCCTCAGTACCCTGCAGGATGGTGGTAGCACCCACTTGGTGGGACTGTTTTCAAGACTAACAGCTGGCCCTTCTCAATAAATGATAGCTATCATAGATGTACTATTATCATTCATTGTTATTGTTATTTTTATTATCATGATGGTTATTGCTGGCCATTGCTAGGAGATCTTGTAGGAGCCTCAGGAGACTGCCTGGCTGTTCCCACCCCTGTGCCTCAGCAGCAATATCCCAGCAGTGAAGCATGGCCTCCGGGCTGGAGCCCAGACTCACTGGGCAGGAGGCCTCAGTGGAAATTAGGAAATAGGACCCCAAAGCCCTGGCAACCAGAGCCTGCCCAGGAGCGGCTCCAGTCTGCTCTCCCAGACACCCAGAGCAGGCCGGGCCCGGAGGCAGGGCTGCAGGGGACCCCCCCTCACACCCTCCCTGCTTGCCGCTCACCGGTGGCCAGGCTGGGGGCGACAGTGCTCGATGTAGGCCTTCAAGGCAACAGCAAATCGCTCCTGCAGCTGGTCCACTATGCTGCGCTGCACCACACCTGGGCGGTCTGGGAGGAGGGAAGGCAGTGTGGTGCCAGCAAGGCCATGGGGGCAAAGACAAGCTCAGCCCAGCCCAGGGAGGGCAAATTGCCCGGCAACCACCTTCCAGAGCCAGGGACACCCAGGCGGGGAAATAAGTGGGGCACCAGGAGGGCTGTGCATTGCCCCACCCACCCAAGGAGAAACCAGCCGGGGTCCCCATCTTGGCCCTGCAGTGAGAAGGGGGCAAAGCCATTGGGTTCGACCTTCCCTGGGGAGGGTAGAGGAGGGACTACTGCCACCTGCAGCTAAAGCTGAAGGGATGGGAGCAGGCCTGGGGGCGGGGTGGGGAGGCCAGGCCGACCGGTGGGGCCTCACCTGGGGAGAAAAGGGAGATGGCCTGCATCAGCACGTACTCCTCCTTACGCAGCTGCAGCTTCTTCAGCATGTAGTGGAATTTCAGCACAGGCTCCAGCAGAAGCTGCTGGAAGCCGCCTGTGGGTGGTGCAGGATGAGTGGGAAACATCAGGAAGTGGACCCAAGACCCAGACGTCCCTCACCAAGGTTTTTCTCCCTGTCGCCCGGTCTTCTGCCCTGTGACCCCAGGACATGCACATCCTGGTGTAGTCTCCTTTCCTTTTTCCCCGTGGCTCCCTCCCTCTGCCGGGGCAGGCAGGTGGCTCTTGGGTACCTGCAGGGTCTTCCAAGCAGTAGGACAGCCGGCCACACTCCCAGGTCCCTGTCTCTGCGTTGAACACTGTGTTGAACCTCAGTTGGCACAGCTCAAAGGCGGCCCCCTTCAACAGGGAGATCTGGTCCTCGATGAGCAGGTCCCTGGCAGCAAGGATGGAGGGGATGCCAGCTTCCTGGAAGCCACCCCAGGCCAGCCCCTCTCCCATAATCCAGAAATCAGGGGAGAGGGAGGGAAAATTGGTTCCTACCCCCTGAGGATTACTACAATTGCTTCTGGTTGCTTCCAATCTCTGCCCCATCACTATCCAGCCAAGCATGCTACCTTAATCCAGTGTCCCATTATCCTCAGGGACTCCCCAACAATGGAGCTCGGTGTCCCTTACAGTCTGGCCCCATCTCCAACTTCTTGCACAGCCACCGAACCACAGCGCATGCCTTGGCTACTGGTCCCTGACCTCATACTTTCTGTCTCAGTTTCCCCACTAGAAATGGTTGCCCCTTTAGCTTCACTTGAGTAAATTCTGCTAGTCCTTCAGGCCAAGCTGTCATTGCGCATCCTAGAAATCTTTCCAGAATGTTTTTGCAGCTGCCACTCCTCTGGTGTGAGTTCCATGCAGCAGGGACGTTTGCTTCCTGTGGCCTACTTTGGATTTTATATTCCTGCAGTTTCTTGCCAGGCAGCCTTGAGGCCCCTCACAGCACTGAGCACAGGCCCGGCCACAGTGGTTGCCTCTGATGTTCCCCCGCTTGGCTTTGCTCTTCTCCAGAATTCAGTCCCTTGTTTTCCTCACACCCTCTTCTCTCAGATCCATAATACTGAGCTGCAAATGCTGTGAAATTTATCTTAGTCTTCTTGTCTCCCCAGCACCCAGCCCAGGGCCCGGCAGGTAGTGGCTCTGAACATCGCACTCTGTGCTTCCAAATCAGGCCTCTGGTTAACTGTGACCCTGTACAAATTCCTCGGCCTCGGTGAACCTCAGTTTTCTATCTGTAGAATGAGAGTGATAGCAATGCCTGCTCCTGGGCAGTCATGCTCAAAGCTGTGGCCACGAGAACCAGCGAGTGGCCTCCCCTCCAGGTGTTAAACGGGATGTCAGGGGATCATCAAGGTCCACAGGTGTAAGTAGGCTTTTCTCCCTGCTCCTCTGACCTCATTGCCACAATTCAAACCCCACTCCAGCCTGTGGCTACCCTCACCCCTTAAATAAGTCCTATGTGTCACCCACAGGGCCACAGGGGAACCCATGGGCTCCTGGAATATAACTGCCGTCTGCCACTGAGGAAATCGGGGCCCATCGTGTGTGTTAATTCAGCTCCACCAGCTAGCCCACCCGGGACAGATATGCCCACTGCCATCTCCAGACCTGACAGGTTAGGTGTCACGGGGCAGTTTTCCCACCAGGCCAGGAGGATCCGAGCTTTCTCGCTGCCCCGCTGCCCCACTGCCCCATGGTTGTTGCCGCCACACCTGGCTGTGGGGACCCCCAACCCTTTGGTCCTCAGGACCGCCCTTCCTCCCCAGGGCCTTCTCAACCGCCTCTTAACAGCTAGAGACCCAGCATCTGTGCCTGTCTCTCTCCTTCTCCTTCTGGACTTGCCTCCCTTTCCTTCCAACTCTTTCTTTGTTCTGGAACTGTCGACATGTGATTCCTGCCCTTTCAGGGAGAAATAGGGAAGGAAATTACTATTGAATGCCCATCATATGTGAGCTGGATGCTCTTCAGATATTTTCTTGTTTCATATGACAGCCCAGCAAGTAGACATCATTGGCTCCTTCTAGTAGACGAGGTTGAGACACTGAGATTAAACAGCAGGCCCCCAGGCCCACGGCGGCTAAGGAGCCACGCTGCTGGGGCTCCATTCCCTCACAGCGCCAGGTGCCCCGGGGTGGGGAGGGCAGGCATAAAGGAGGGTCTTTGGGCACCAACATCCCCCAACTTCAGAGGGACCTGCCCCAGAGCGTTTGAACCTGCTGGCCGCTTTCTGCTCCTTTCCATACCCACCCAGCCCCTACGTCCTACCTGAAGTGGGAGATGACTTTGGCAAAGTTGATGATGCCTCTGAACATGTAGGTTGACATGTCAGCCATGTGGGGCAGCAGGGAAAAGATTTCTTTCCCACTGCCTTCGGCTGGGGGTTTGTAGTTCCAGACACTGCCGTCCTCCCCCCGCAGCTGCAGAGACATGACCTTCAGTGAGTACAGGTCTTCTCTGACCTGGCTCCACTTGATAGCTTCTTCCCCTGACACAGTCTGTGGGGACTCTGGGACCTTCTGGCCACTGCTGAGCACCTCGGGCAGCTGGAACAGAGCGGGAGGTGGGGAAAGGAGAGAGACGGCATGTATTCTCCCGCACAGGCTCCCGCACAGGCCCCAGATGGGCACCCGCAGCAACAGGCTTCAGAGGATGCACAGCTGCAGGCATGCGTGTGCACTCGTGCACACACACACACACACTCACAGCACTTGCTTCTACTCCCTTGTCTCCTCCTAGGTGGAGCACTCTCTGGATCTGTGAATTAATGGTCCCTCACATCCCCGCCTGTCAGACACGCATTGTTCCCTGGCCCAGGGGAAGGTGAGGGGGCCTATATGCAAGGGTGCGTCCCAAGCATCCCTGACCTTGCACTTGGAAGACTTAGAGAGAAGGGTCTGGGGTCTACAGATGGAAAGAACAGACTTCTGGGGGTGCTGGCCACCAGTTCCCTGAGCTGGGCAGGTCACCCTCGACACTGTGAGCACTGAAGGGGAGGAGGGCACGGGGGTCAGACGTGGCTGACGGTGCTGAGATCACTAACGTTTCTCGAATCAGTAAAACCAATTCACAAACGTCACCCCCCCCAGCAGGCCCTGGCCCTGTTTTCATAAAGCCCTGAACACCAGCAACTCTGGGGCAATTCAGCTCCAAGGCTCCACTTATGGCCCAGCTCCCACCTGCTGCGGAAGGACTTGTGTTCCTGACAAGTTCTAACTAGTCCCTGGATGCTGCTGCTGGTATCCAGGGAACAGTCTTTGAGGATCTCTGCGAATGAGATTGGGGTTTTAAGGAGCTGGCATAGCTGCTGAGCCAACTCCAAAGCCTCATACCCGGAAATCCTTGAAATGGGAGAAGGTGATGTCGAAGGTTTTCATCTGCGCGTCCATCAGCTCCCAGATCATCATCTGCTGCTCCTCAGTCAGACCGCTGGCTGCGGGGGGCTGCGTCCCGGTCCGTTCTCGCTTCTTCCTCCTGATCAAGGCCCGTCTCTGCTCCACGGCTGCGTCAGACATGATCACTGCGAGGACAGCCAGGGGCAGGCTCAGCTACCTGCAGGGGCTAGGCCACCCGCTTAACGCCCCCAGGCAGCAATAGGGGAAGCACTGTTGACAAGAAAGCCACCTTCTGCAGACTCATGGGGACTGTAGGCTCCTCTGGAGAAGCGGTTGGGTAAGGACAGAGGGACGTGGTGCGGCTGGTGTGCTGCCCCAGACTGCGGGGTTTGTGACAACTTTGTGGAGCAGTGGGAAGAGCTTGGGCTTCAGAATCAAAAGGCGCTAGATTTGAATGACAGCTGGGCTTGAGTGACAGTGGTGACCCTGAGCAAACTCCTTAACCCCTCCTGCCTTCAGTTTTCTCCTTAGTAATCTGGAGTGACAGAACTCACCGCCTACTGCTGTCCCAGTGAGGCACCGCGGAGAACGTGCCTAATATAGCTCCCGGCTATATGATGTAGGGGACACACACACACACACATACATATGCATACATAGACATATCTACACACACACATCTATATGAATATATATACAGAGGTGGGCAAAAGGAGGCTTATGGTTGTATTAATAATACAATAATTAATAAATAATAATGCAAGAATAAACTGTTTCCTGTACTCACAACTCTAAACCTACTTTTGCTCACCCTGTATATTCACATATACACACCCTGGAATTTAATAAATGTTCAGTAAATGGCACCTGGTAGCATGTATACCTGTCTAGTGCATTAGATACCAAGAAGACACCTCAGAGTCCCCCAAGTTCTCCAGGTCTCCAATCCCTTGAAAAGGTGGGTTCACTGCTTAGCAAGAAATGTCAACCCAACCACTTCCCAAGTAGCCTGGAGTCTTCAGGCCTCCCATGGATTTCTGGAGCCCACTTGTGTGTGCAAAGTGAAGCTGAGGGGATTTGGGGGGACAGAAGGGACAGTGAGTGAAGACCTCACTCTCAGCGGGTCTACAGGAAAGGCTCTCTGCCCATAGGCCCAGGGTACATGTCCCCTGAAGGAGGCTCCCCACTCTGTGACCGAGGGAGACAAGAATACACTGGAGGCTTCCAGTCTCTTCCCCACGAGCTTTCATCTCAAAGTGACCTGGGGGCACACTTATATCAAAGCTCCACAGGAGGAATGAAAACATCCTTTGTCACCTGTGTACAAACAGTTCCGCCGTGTCTGGGGTAGCCGATGGGTCATATCACACTATGTGTCTCTGGCTTCCCTCTCCCAAATTCACCTCCTCCAATTTGGCTAAAATGCCATAAGGTCAATTATAAAGGGAACAAAAGAATCACAAGGGCACCTGAGGGGAGAGAGGGGCATGGCTCTGGTCTGAGACGTCCACTACACCCAGAGCAGAGGATAAGATGCCCTCCATCCGTCACGCCTCCCAGGAGGGACTGCGGCGGTGCCGGCGGATGGGCACAAGCTCTGCTCCACCTGCCTGCCTGCTGCCACAGGCACCCGGGCACGTGTGCACGCACATTCAGGGTGCACATCTGCACACCAGCACAGACACACCCCAAGGCCCATTCCTACTGGGCCCTGGCTCACATGCCCCCCACCCCCTCGGGCACACCCTGCACTCACTCTCCTTCTTCATGCCGCTTTCCAGGCACTTGCGCAAGCGGCAGGCCTGGCAATGTCGCCGGGTCTTCTGGGTGATCTCACAGGTGCCCTTCCGGAAGGGACACCTTAGCCGGGCGTTGCGTTTCATGACCCTCCTGTGAGAGAACAAAGAGCAAAAGGGAGGCCCCGGGGAGCAGGCCAGGGAGCTCCAGCCACACCTCCCTTTCTCCCTGTGCCCTCTGTTACCAAGGACCACTAGCCGCAGCCTCTGTGGGCCTGCCTTCGCCTCTGAGTTGGGTCAGGTTCATAGGGAAGGTGGGGGCGGGGGCTCTTCAATCTCCCCTTGGGGCTGGGCTCCCCTCAAGCCCGGAGGTGGCTGGAGGAGAGTAGCAGGGGGAGGCTTTCTTGCAAAGTTCACGCTGTGCCTGTGCTTTCAACGGCCTGCCACAGCCAAGGCACTGTCTGGGATGCTTCAGCTCCAGGCCCCAGGCCCACGTCCTCCCCGCCTCACACTCCCCCCCTTCCCCTCACACCCTGTGTCCTTGTTACTGGGGACCCCAGAGAAGGACCTTGGTGATGTTTCGTGGAGGTGGCCTCTTCCTGGATGTCTCCTTGGAAGAGGGAGCCAGAGGAAACCTGACCCCAGGAGGGTAAGAAACATAACAAGCCCCTTCCTCCTAACCCCAACTTCAGAGTGGGGAGCCAGGGGCAGCTATAGGAGCAGGCAACCCTGGGGAGGGAGGCTTTCTACCTCCCTGGACAACCGCTCCCCCTTTGGAAAGGTGGCTTCTCCTGATTGGCCTGGTGGAGCGAAGGGGCTCACAGCCCTGTAAGAGTGAACGCGGGCACACGTCCTTGCACGGCTGTGCCAGGTAGGGGAGCAATGGGTCACTGCCTTTCAGAGACCACAGCACCATCACCCTCTCCCCAAGGCCCAGGCATCCAGAACTTCCCACAAAAGACCCAGCCACTGGGGTCCCAATTTTATCCCCTTCCCCTTCACAGCTGAATGGAGAGAAGCAATTCTTCCCTGGCCCCGGCCTCTGGTTCTGGCCCAGCTGGGTAGAAAATGAGGGAGAACAGGCAGGAACATGGGACAGACAGGAGTGGCTGCAGACTGGGCCCTGGGGCTGAACTGGACAGAGGCTGAGCCACACTGCAGTTGATTGGCAGGTGGGGCCAGTGAGCAGCCCAGGGGGCAGGTGCCCCCCTCCCCCCAAGCCCACCCCACCTTTTCTGCCTCCCCAGCTGGTCTGGGTAAGAAACCCCTGGTCCCACTGGAGAACACCCAGAAGGGTGGAGGGTGAAGGGGCTCAGGTTTATCAACGAGAAGCTATGGGGCAGATGCTGGGCTAGATGTTTTGCAGAGCTTTGGAAATTTAGTTCTCACAACTCTACAAAATACATCGTGTCATGTCCCTGACATGGATGCAGAAACCGAGTCAAAGGTAAATCACTACCTGTCCTCCAGGTAAGTGACAAGCGGAAATTTGAATCTGTGTCTGCCTGATACCAGAAGGCAAGCCCTTTGGGGGCCCCAGGACAGCCCAGGTTGAGGGAAGGGCGGGGGACCCCACACCCCAGGCGTTCTACACAGATGCTGTGGGCAGGACCAGGTCTGGCTCAGACGTCCACCCTCCTCCACGCGGCCCTGTAGCCTGGGCCTCACTCGGGAATGTGCTCTCTGTGAGTGACCAGTGCAGGAGTAGCCTGCAGCCCAGTTCTAGCTGATGTGGGATGAGGGGGGTCTCCTGAGAAAGGTTTCCTTGCTCTTAGAAAGAGGAAGAGATGGGCCTTTCTGTTCCCAGGCTGAACACTGTGGTCACTGCCGTGGCTCCAGCATTGTCCTGCCCCAGGGGAGCAGGCTGAGGTCAGAGCTCTCGTGCAGGATGGAAGAAGAGGAAAACGGAAAGAATTGAGCTGCTGGTCACACCAACCCTGAAGCCTTTAGGCTTCTAGCTATGAGAGGTAACATGTTTTCCTTATTGGTAATCCTTTGAGTGGAGTGTTTTGCACTTGTAAATGAATGCAGCCTGACACTATGGCTGGTCTGACCTCTATTATAATCCACACGACACGCATGCTCCTTTCCCACGGGAACATGGGCGTCTTAGAACCTGCCCCAGGCTCACCTAGGCCCGTGGGACCCAAGAGTGGCTCAGGCTTGACCACAGCAGCCTGAAGCCAAGGTTTCATTCAGGGTGTGTGTGGGGACACTGGTTTGCTACAGTGACTCCCTGGGCTGACTCAGGCCTCGACGTCCTTCTGTAAATCACTACCTGTCCCCCACCCACAGGCAGCCCATCTTTGGGACCCAAAGGGGTGCCAAGTCAGGCTGGCTGCCCCAAGAAAGCATGAGGCTCCCAAGGGTGGCCCCTGAGGTGGGAGTTGCTCTCAGCATGCCCTGCCCTCCATGAGGGCTTGGGGAGAGCTCTTCCTTTCACTCCTATCTCTGCTCCCCTCCTTCCCTCTTGGTCTGAGCCCTGCACTGAGCTTTGCTCTTCTCTGCCTTCAGCTGGACCACGTGGGCCCTTCTGTGAGCTTGGTCTTTAAATCTTTGGATTATTTGCCTGTTTCTAGGTGAGCTTGTTTTGTCACACTCTTCATTTATTTTATGCCATTCTTACTTAACAACCACTCTCTAAGACCGATTTGAACACTTGCATTTTAGATTTTCACAGTCTTTTCTCTTTTACAGATTGAATTTCTATTTTATTCAGAACATATGGAGAAACAAAGGGGTATCTTAATGGAAGGAGACCTTTCTCAGGGAGGAAGACAGAAGATGAAGGATCCCTCTGAGATATGAATGCCTCTCCTGAGGCTAATTAGGAGGCCTTCGAAAGGGCCACTGTCCCCACACTCTGGACTTGGGAGATAGTCAAGCTGAGGCCCTGGTGCCCAGTGGGCTAATGGCAGAGCCCTAGTCAGATGGGACCCAATGTGTCAGGGGTGGCTGGTGGGTAAATGTTGGCAGGCGACTCTACCTGAAGAAGCCCTTGCATCCTTCACACGTCAAGACATTGAAGTGATAGCCAGTGGCCTTGTCCCCACATACACGGCAGACGTGGGGCCCGCGATCCCCCTCCTCTGTGTTGACGGCGGGATTCCCAGGACTGGAGTCCGCCTCTCTGCGGCGCACAGGGTCATCGCGGTTCCAGCTTTCTTCAGGCCTCACCTCCAGGTTTGCGTCCGGCCCTCTGGGACTAGGAACAGGACAACCATGAGTGATTAAAGGACTAGACTGGGATGCGCTGAGGCTGTCCTCACTGTGCGCCACTCACATTTGGTTTGTGGACCCAAGAGATGACCTATCATGGGAGAAATGGGGGTGGGGTGGAGTTGTTACGGAGAGAGACCTAACCGTGTCGTTGTAGGTGCAGCAGTAGGGCCCTGGAGTAAAAGCCATGAACAAGAACGTGGGAGACAGACGGGTTCAAGGAAGGAACGAAGAGAAAAAGAAAAGGCCACCTGGGTGGACTGTAGACGTAATTCTTGAAGGGACTGAGGTGAGGGGGACAGGAGCTGGTCCAAGGCCTGAACAGAGGGCAGCCCATGGGATAGGCCACTTGTTCAAGGTGGTTTCTGGGACTGGGGAGACCTGGGGGGACAGGCTCTCAGGTGTGTTGTGGTCCAGGCTCCCAGAGAGAGCTGGAATGGCCAGGCAGAAAGAGGGTTTCCAATTGAATAACTGACCAGATGGGGAGAAAGTTAGAGAGGAGCCAGGCTCGCGGTGCAGAAAATAATGGCCCAGGTCCCAGTCAAGCTGGGGCAGAGGTGACTAAGCAGAGAGCTTGTACCCACTGACAGAGCTGCACTCAGGATGGCCACCGAGGCAAACCTGACCTTGAGAGAGNACCGAGGCAAACCTGACCTTGATTCGACTTCTACTCAGGATGGGCACCGAGAATGGTGAGTAGAAGTTGGGAACTGTCCTCTTCACTGCCCCTCCCCAAAGTCTCTCTAGTACTGAGTGCCGAGGGCCACACCACAGACGATGTCTCCATTTTTAAAACCAAAATAAAACTTGTAGTAAAATTTCAACACACATATTTCTGTTTCTAATAGCATGGCAGATGAAAGGTGACAGTTTCACCTGTAAGGATGAATTAGAAATTAATCTGTCCCCTGACTCTGGCCCTCCAGAAACCTGCAAATAAAATAGGCTGACTGGAATCTTGAACTGAACAGGGATTGTGAGGGATGTTAACTAGACTTATTGTGGTGTTCATTCTGCAACATATACAAATATCAAATCATCACATGGTACAGCTGAAACTAATATAATGTTGCATGCCAATTACACCCTGATAAAAAAATAAATAAAATTTCTGAAAAATGGGATGGAGCGGATATTAAAATGATGACTACCAGTTATTGAAACTCCAGTGTTCTAGCTCCTTCGCAAAAGGCGATTATTATAACATTTATCATTTCATGCAACAAACACTGTTGAGCATCAATCGCACACCAGATACAGTTACGTTGGTTCTTTTTCATGTTCTATAAAAGCTGGGAGTCATTTCTTTGGCAGAAATCCAGGGCCTGCCGTAAAACCCTCCCAATGCTCACAGTCACAGGGAGGGTTCCACAGTCCAACAATGACACAGGAAAGGAGGTTTTATACACAACGTATTGCTTCAGGGTACACATTGGAGGAAAACAACCTGCCTTAAATTTTCAGCTTCATGCAGAAGCCACTAAGAAGGGCAGAATCTGGGGCTACAGAGATAGTTGGCAGAAATTCTGCACATAAATGATCAGCCGTGGACAAAGGAAGAGTGAGATGGCACTGCCTCAGCAATCAGTATAAACGTCCTCCCTAGAAGGGAAGAGGTACATTATTACAAGACGCATGAATCACAGAAGCTCAGTAGATGACACACACCAAGAAGACGAAAGAATGTCTCTAGAGGGACTGTAGGGACATCTACTTAAACTGCCTGATTAATACATCGCCCAATTCCTTCACTAGAGGCACTAGAGTTCATGCCAGAATCCCACTCCCTAGCATTGGTGCAACTTTTACTTTCCTTTGCTTATAAGTTTTCTGTTAAAGAAGCAGATACTGGTATATATCCCATAGTCCATTCTCTCATATTATGAAGCCCCAAGTAGAGAGCCCTGGCAGCTATTTTCCAAAAATGGTCCCCAATAAACCTTGCCTCCCGAGAGTCCCACCCTCATGCAGTCCCCTCTCATGATGAGCCTGGGGTGGTCTGTGACTTGCTTGAAGCAATAAAATGTGGGGAAGTGACATGGTGTCAGTTCTGTGCCTGAACCATAAGAAGGCCTTTGCAAAAGCAATTAATTGTAAAATTCAGTATTTAAGCTGAATACCAAAGATAGAGTATATTCTCAGCAAGGAAGAGCCATCAATAGAAGACTGAGTAGATCAGTGAATGTAATGTTTGTGCACCACGGAGGCTCACTGCAGTGAGCACAGGTCCCCACACCGCTCTGGGTGGGTGGCTAGTTGACATTGCTTAGCTAATAGGAGGTGGAGCCAGAATTTGAACCAAGGCCAGTCTGACTGCAAAACCTGTGTTCTCTGTTCAACACTCTGCTGCATCCTTTGCAGGACCCATTTCCGAGTGGGTCAGCCACTTATCAAACCTCCGTCCTTTCTGTGCCACTTTTCCCAGGCAGCGCATTTCAGAGCTCTCCATGTTGCGTGGTTCCTTTCACGTAGCTCTCCGCTCTTGGGCATCAAGTGATCCCCTAGGATGCTCAGCTCCTGCCATCTCAATGCTGGAGATAGCAGAAGGGACTGAGGAACCTGCCTCCACTTGTCACACCCAGAGCTGTCTTGTTCCATGTCAGAGAAATATTCAAGGTCATGACGCCGGTCCACTGGATCCTGGCTGGTTGCAGGGAGGCTTCATCTGGATTCCACATCCCTGAGCAGAGGCTCAAGCCCGCGGATGGCCACGTGTCTAAAAGGACCTGCAGTTTTTCAGGGGCCGATGCTGCTGTTTTCTACATATTCAGTGGTTCTTGGCCTTTGTATTTTAGTCATTATTTATGTTAGAGGCTTTTTCTTTTGCTTCCCAGCCAAGGCCTTTGACTAAGCCCTTAAAAATACCCACTTTTGCTCAGTTACAGGCCCTCTGGAGAGCAGTGGTCTTTCCAGGCCGATGGATATTTATATAGATGCAGTTACTTCATTTGCTAAGGGCTTCAAATCCCCTATTAAATTAGGGAGAAGGGATGTCCTCCATGAATGACACACACACACATGGGGGTGACTCATCATGACTGAGCAGGACACAGTTGCCCCACAGTCTCCTGGATATCAGAGGACTTTGCTTTTTGTTCCCTCGGGCTGGAGATGTCTGGTGCCCAGCACCCTCATAAATAAAATGGAAGCTGCTGACAACACCAACGTGACCTTGGCCATGAAGAGGAGGAGGGGAGAGCACAGTCAGGGGGCATGTGCCACAGGGGCAGATCCGGCAGGGTGAGAAGTGACGGGAGAGGAGGCTGCGGAGGAACTGTGAGGCAGGCGCCACTCAGAAGCTGGAGCTGGGATATGGCTGAGAAACAGAGAGAGAGACTAGGGAAGGGAGAATGGGGGCTGTAGTTGAGAAATTGTCAAGGGCAGAGTGAAAGTTCAAGCAAAAGTGAGGGACCAGCCCTTCCCAGAGGCGCAGGCGGTGGGAGGGGAGGCAGCATTGAGACATGCCTGGGGCAGGTTAAATGGGGCCAGGGAGAAACCACAGGTGAGGGGCGTTTCCCTTAAGCCAGCACAAGAAAAGCACAGGGGCTGCTGCTCACCGCCGAGGCCAGAGGAGAGCCCTGGAGAGTGGCTTGGCTGGTGAGGCTCGGCTGGTTGGAGCGTCGTTCGGTCACCGAAAGGTGGCGGGGCCCGTGCAGGAAGCAACCGACTGATATTTCTCTCTCACATCAATGTTTCTTCCTCTCTCTTTAAATATATACAATTATATTTGCATAATTCCTCAATAAAGTTTTTTAAAAATGTAAAAGATGGTTGCCAGGGGCTGTGGGAGGGAGGAATACACAGTTGTTGTTTAATGAGCATAGAGTTTCAGTTTTGTTTGTTTTCTTGTTTGTTTTTAATATGTTTTTATTGATTTCGGAGAGAGGAAGGGAGAGGGAGAGAGAGAGAGAAACATCAGTGATGAGAGAGTCACTGATCGGCTGCCTCCTGCACGCCCCCTGCTGGGGATCAAACCCACAACCCAGGCATGTGCCCTGCCGGGAATTAAACCTCGATCTCCTGGATTTTAGGTGGATAATCCACCGCTGAGCCACACCTGCCGGGCTTTAGAGTTTCAGTTTTACGAGATATAAAAGGTGTGGAGATCAGTTACACAACAATATAAATATACGTAACAATACTGAATTGTACACTTAGAAATGGGTAAGACATAAATTTTGTTATACTTTACCACAATTAAAAAAATAACATCACTTGTAACTAAATAAATGTTGATCAAATATTCCAGGAATATTGAAGGGAAGCCAGAGTATTAGTGGCGTGAGTGCCCACATGTCTGCCCGGCCTCGCACGGGCGGGGAGCCGGGGGGCTGCGAGGAAGCGGAGCCGCGGGGCAGACGAGCGGCAGGGGAAGGGATACGCAGCGGTTAAATCGCCGCTGTGAGGAGTAAAAATAACACCAGGTCAGTTAAGCTTCATTGAATCCCACACAACCTCAGTTTTGTTTGTTTGTTTGTTTGTTTGTTTTTAATCCTCACTGAGGATATTTTTTCCATTGCTTTTCAGAGAGAGAGAGAGAGAGAGAGAGAGAGAACTTCGATGTGGGGATGGAGACACATCGATCGGCTGCCTCCCGCACGTGCCCCGGGGATGGAGCCTGCAACCAAGGTGTGTGCCCTTGGCCGAAATCAAACCCAGGACCCTTCAGTCCCTGGGCCGATGCTCTAACCGCTGAGCCCACCCAGCTGGGGATGACCTCAGTCTGTGAGTCACATCTGAGTCCCTGTGAGGCCGGGTCTGTGGCAGGTGCTGACGGTCACCTTCCTTCTCCCATGTCTGCTTCAGCATCCCCACTGCCTCAGGCCACCAAGAGCCCCTTAGCACCTGAGATACTCCAACCCGCCCGTGCACACCAGCACCCGAGCAGCTGGTCAAAGCGCACATTGCAGTCCCTGGGTCTGGGGGCCTGAGCTCCCCGCGTTCTGACAGGTTCTGGGGCTGTGACCCGCGGGGCCCCCTTGGAGTAACAAGGATCTAGGAATCCAGCTACCCAGGCAGGAAATCAGCTGCACACAAAAAGCATGTGAGAGAGAAGATGACCGGATGGCGGGCAGAGGGGCTACTAAAAGCATCCGAGGGATCCAGGCAAGAAAGGGATCACACAGGCGTGTGGAATGACCGGCGTCATAAATGGCTGTCGAAAGTCAGTAAGTCAATACACACTTGGGGTGAGAGGGACAGCCCCTTCCTGGGAAGAGGGCATGAGGGGGACATGAAGGTAACACTTAATCCTCAAATGAGGCACATCAAAAGGCTTTGGACCCAGGCCACCAAGGTTATGGGGAGGAAAGAATGGGCAGGTCGAAGTTGAAGCAACAAAGGGTCTAAGTGAAAGGGGGAAAATGGTAGAAAAATTGTGATTTTGGTGATAGAAACTATTGGAAACAGCAGGATTATGATATATATATACACACACACATATGTTTTATATTTGTCTTATGAGTATATACATAATATGTACATTTTATAATATGTATATATCTACACACATATACATATATAGGATGTCCCCCCAAAATGTATACGCACATTTTAAATAATTATAAAGGAAGTGTTTATTAAAATACATTTCATTTTCAAAATTGAGCTATCAGCTGTTAAAATGCATATACATTTTTTCGGGACACCCTGTATATGTATGTGTGTGTAGCGGAGCATCTATCTACATATAATAAATACGTATATCAGAGGACAAAGAGGAAACAAAGCAGGTAAAGGGAAATTACGTAAGAGTTGAATTCTAGAAGTCGACAGTGAATTTTATAAAACTGTTGACTTTGTTCAATGAAGGGAGAAGCTTGGTTAATTCATTAACTCACATTTTACAGGTTTTGGTGTTTACAAAATGATTTCAAAATCATCATCTCCTTGCGAGGTGCACTGTGTAGTCAGAGCAGGCCGGTCCGCAGCTGGGAGGGGGGGACAGGCCCTACTGTCCCTTCACCAGTGAGGAACCTGCGCCTTGGAGGAAAGTGTGTCCAAGGTGAAGGTGGCGGTAAGTGACAGAACTCCTTTCCTTTCCCTTTATTCTGAGTCTTCCTACAGTACAGATAGATGTGCTATGTAAATTAATTTTTTGTCACAAAACTCATGGGGCTAAAACGAGATCAAATATTTAAAAATTTTTTGAAATGGATCATATGCTGTGAACAAAAGTCTCCCCCTTCTTGGTGCTGGCATGGGAAAGACCCAGAGGGAACTAAGTAAGCAAAGGTCACAGTGTACGAATTCAGATATGAGAAGCCCGCTGTTATTTTCAGGTGAGCGTAAATGAAAGTTGGCTTTTGTGTTTCCCTGGACGCAGTCATTGGCTCCAAGAGGTCAGAAAGTTCATTCTTAGACATGGGTCAGGGTTGAGAGCTGGGGTCAGCCCAAGTCAAAAGTACACCCCGTACCCTCTTCTAATATTTAACAGACTGCAATAGCCTCTCATTGAGCCACCTGCCTCTCACATGCATGTGTGGGGCTCTTACGGCCTGTGGTTTTGTAGTTCAACTCCTTGTCTGTAATGCATAGAGAGCCAGGAGAATTGTTTCATATGTTATATAAGGGATTTGAATATGTATCATTATCTTAATTTTTAGTTGGATATTCAGATTGTTATTTCAATGTTTCACAGAAGTTCAGGAGGTATGACAGATGGACGAGCAGGTATTGGGTGCAGTCTCCTTCAAATCACACTACCTAGAAGGTCCCTGCATGCAAGGAGAGCCCCTCGCACATTTCTATGTCCTTCCCATGTTGTGACCAGGGCACAACTTCAGCCTCAAAGAATCCTGCAGAGGACTCTCCAAGAAATATGAATGCACAGCATATAATAAAAATGAATTAAAATCAGGAGCATGACAAGAATACCTAAGACACCTAAGTGTGAATAGTACCCCCAGAATTGTGCAGTGTACAACCCACATGACCCTATATCAGTCCTGAGACTAATCTTTCTCATGGCTATTAATGAGCATGTGTTGGAAGGCCAAGAAAAAGCAGTAAGATTAAATTCTGTAAGGTGACCAGACAAAATATCAAAGTACAAAATAGATTTTCTATATATCAGCAAAAAATCAATTAGAACAGTAAAGCTATAATGGAAATTGTCTCAGGAATCAAAAATAAATACAGAAGAACAGAGTATCCAGCAACAGACATGTAAAAGTGAGAATATCTAACTGAAATATGTGACAGAGGTGACATTTCAAATGAAAAGGGAAAGGACAGACTTTTTAATAAATGCTATTGGAATAATTCATAGAAATATATTCCAGGTAGACTAAAGACCTATTTTCTTAAATGGTAAAAATATTAGAAGAGCCTGACCAGGCGTAGCTCAGTGGTTGAGCATTGACCTATTACCCAGGAGATCTTGGTTCGATTCCCAATCAGGGCACATGCCGGGGTTTCGGGCTCGATCCCCAGCAGGGGGCGTGCAGG